GCAATGTTAGCATGTCTACATTTCTGGGCTCCAGCTGCAGTTGAAAGGACACAGTTTGGATGGAGGTTTCCTTCAGCAGCTGCAGACCGCGCTGCTAGCAGGAGTTGCTGATTTAAATTAAGAGATGTGAAGATTTCTAGTTTATCTGAGTTAGCATAGTGTTGGTGTTAGCCTTAGTTTGTACCAAAACACTAAAACATGGCCGCCAATCTACAAGCTCTCATTACAACCAGTGGCGTGTCCAGGTCTTTTAAAATGGGGTGGCCCAGGTGAGGCACAACTTTGTGCATGTGTGGCACCAATTGTTATGTTTTTTTGTTTGTTTGTTTGTTTTTTGTTTTACCCCCAAGCCCTTTCTGGATAATGAAAAGCCTATTTATAGGTAAATTAGTGTGTTGGCACCTGGGGTGGCCAATCAGATTCCAAGGGTGGCATGTGCTATCCCAGGTCACTCCGTGGACACGCCCCTGATCACAACCCTGTAACTGACACTTTATAACACACTAAATGTTATTTTATTACAGTTGGACTGAATTAAATGCATTTAGAAGATTTAGAATCTTGACTTGATGATTTTATTTTTTTGGGGACACTTTAGATAGTTCAAATTACCCAGTTTAGTCATTTTTGTTGACTTTTACACAAGTTTAAACATCATTCTTTTAGATAAGAGAAAAGCTTTTCACTAAAATTCTACCTTTCATATTTTAAAGAAGGTGGTGACTTTTGTGTATCACACACACGAGTCATAAACCAGATCATTACCATACAGCTAAAGCCATGCGCCATCAAATGAAAAGCTGTGTGTGTGTGTGTGTGTGTGTGTGTGTGTGTGTGTGTGTGTGTGTGTGTGTGTGTGTGTGTGTGTGTGTGTGTGTGTGTGTGTGTGTGTGTGTGCGTGTGTGTGTGTGTGTGTGTGTTTTATGTGTTCATTGATTGTCTTCTGCACCAAGCACCAAAACAAATTCCTCACGAGTGTAAAAACTATGAACCTTATTCTTATTTAAGTTTTTTCCTGTTTTTTTGTAATAATTAAATTTCCCTGTTTCCATCTAAAAACTCTGTTATTTAAAGTCTCTTTTGCTTAAATATTTTGTGTTTTATACATTAGTTTTATGATCTTTTAGTTTTGAAACAATAATCATTCATTTGATTTTATGGTCCTTTTATTTTTAATTCATTTGTGATCATTTTTGGTTTTAAAATCATCTTTATTCACAATTGTATTGATCGTTTAGCTTTTAAATGATTTTAATTCATTCATTTCAAGATCTTTTTGTTTTTAAATGATCTTTATTGGATTTATCTTTTTCATCATCTTTTAGTTTTGAATGGTTTTTGTTCATTTCTTCTTTTTGTCTTTCAATTATGTTTTAATTTTGATGTAATTTCCTTTGTGGTTGTTATTTTTTCTGTGACGGGTGCTACATAAATAAACTCTAATATATTAAATATTTTTATTAATTTTCCCATGCAGACTCTCTGATATTCCCATCCACTGATCTGTTTTCCAGGTTGTCTATCCCCCCATTAGGTTAAGGAACTAATGTCACGTGGCGATGTGAGTTGTCAGCGTAAGGGCGCCTGCGACTGTGTAGACATTAGCAATGTAATCGGTGGGAGATGCATGCTCCTCGTCCTGGTTACCGGCGTCGGGCTCTGCGGGATGCGGACCCAGGCCCAGCAGGAACATGTTGTGATTAGAGGGGGACTCGGTTATAGAGATGCTATAAGACAGGGAAATGATCAGAAGTGTTCATTAGGAACCACTTAAAGATGATGGTTGTCTTTTATCCCACGTCGGTATACAAGAATATTTCCTCCCATGGCAAATTCTATAAGGCTCGTATCTTTCTCTCAAGCCTTGCCAGGATGTTTTCACAAATAATTTATTCAGTCTCGATATTGGTCGTTAATATTTGCAGTGGAAATCTAATTCTGTTGCTGTTTGCGTTGCAGGCATGAATAAAAACATGAGGGTGATTTTTCAAGACAGAATAATGTGGCATCGGTGCATTTTTTTTTCTTTTCGCCCCTCTGGAGCTCCTGTGCACTAAAATGAGGCTGGTGTGATGGGGAGTGACGGTATTCCATAATGGTACAACATGATCACTACCTAGCAGCATGCTCCCCTCTCTCTCCTCTTTTTACTGGATCACTTCTGCCTCCATGTTGGCTTTTCTCCAGCATCAGAGTGGGACAGCTAGGTGTTGGTGAGCCGCATCACCGTCACTCTACTGGGTCGGAGGAATAGAGGGATGCATGTGGTTAAAATGTTTTTATTTTTTGCATGAAACACAAAAATATTTAACATTTTGAAACCTGGTGCAGATCCAACCTTCAGCAAATCCTGGTGACTTTGCAGGTCTATTTCTGTGGAGGACTGATATCCACATAAAGCAAACACACACGGGAGCAGCATCAAGCCAGACTGCTGGCACCGTAGCTGAAACAGACACTTTAACCAGCGTTTGGTATCCAAGTAGCACCATCCCTCTGTCAAGTGTGTCAATAGGCCGCGTGTATCTGGGGTGTTGTAAACCAAATATCCTCCCCTTGTCGTGATTCTCGTGCCGAGGTGAGCGCTCCTCCTCAATTAACCACCTTTGAGGTTCTGTTTTCCACAGGTGAGGAGCGGAGGGGTACCAGCTGTGCCGAATAAGTCATTAGGAGCTCGGGTTTAAAAGGAGGATGGAGAAACCACTCGAAGCCGGATGATTACTCCAGTTTTTGGTAACGCCACCACTCGTACTCGTTTGACTCCAGGACTCTAGAAGGCGCTATGTCAATACAGGCCATTTACCATTTTACCATTTACTCTGCTACGAACCACGGATCTTCATACAACGTCCCATCCTCCTCCACGGCTCCTGTATCTCCCCTCTCCGCTTCCTCACCTCCCGCCCGGCTGGGTCTCCGCACTCATTCACCTCGGCCCACCACTTCCCCCACAGCTCGCTGAGCTAGGACTCGGAGCATCGCCTCACGGCTTCATTCACTGGATTTCCAGTGCTCCTTTGGTTTCTGTTTTTTGCAAATAAAAGACTTTAATTTCTTACCTCCTGACTCCCGTGTTGATTCTGCATGTCTTGGGTTAGACGCCTTCCACAAGTCATGACACCCCTGGCCAGTGCATTGAGAAACTCATTTGTAGGTATGCCAAGCCTGTAGGTGGCAGCAGTTCCCCAATTTGTCAGCGTCTTTGCAGGGAAATAAATCCTTACCCCTTCTTTCCACCGGAGCCGTCAGCAGCACGTTACTGCAGCAGCACGTCATAGCTGCTGATAGGAACCGTTGTGGTCAACAGAACCTTTTCCACCGGAGCCGTCAGCAGCGCGAGTCGGCTGCGTCTCAGGAGCAGCATGTCGCGGCCTTTACGCGCCGGTTCTATTTTCTACGCGCGACGCCTCTGAAACGGGTCAAGTTCGACATTTTTGGGGAAGGAAAGACAGGAAACCGGACGCGGAAATGGAGCGATGCTCCAGAGATTTTCAGATTAAAGAAACGTACTGCCTTCCGGTTGCTTTACTTTAAAATAAAGTTACTAAATGTGCAGCCCCGTGCGAAGTTATCACCTAGCTAGCGGTCTCCTTTGTTTTTCAGGTCCGTATTGGCGATTATAAAATGGACAGAACATAAATCACAAACCTTTTGGAGCCATGTTGTAATTTTCTCCTGCTTGTTGTTGTGTTTACTGACAAAGTCACACGCTCTGTCGGTGACAGCTGCTCCCCTGCTGCTTCGCGTCTCGTGGGAAGGGCCAAGCAGCAGCTTACGCGAGCAAGACGTGCTGCTGCAGTAACGTGCTGCTGCAGTAACGTGCTGCTGCAGTAACGTGCTGCTGACGGCTCCGGTGGAAAGAAGGGGATAGATGTGGAATAACGTCGTCCGTCTCCTACGTAACAGTAAAAACCTGCCACGAGGGATGTCAGAGCATCCTTGTCTGAGTTTATTTACGTCCACGAGCAAACGCTGGCAACGGACAAATCCCAAACCTCCACGTTGGTCGGAGTTTTGAAAGAATCGCTTTTAGTGTCGTTCATCTTCACTTTGATGCGGATGGCAGGTCAGATATCTTTGTTTTTTGCTGTACTCGGCTGTGTGTGAACAGGGTATAAATCGTGTATCAATGAACCAAAAGGGGCAGCAGCTCAGGAGGTAGAGCCGGTTGTTGGTTCGATCCCGGCTCCTGCCAGAGAGTGATGCTGTTGTGTCTTTGGGCAAGACACGTGACCCACCTTGCCTTCTGGTCCGCCCCAGGGCAGCTGTGGCTACATTGTTGCTCATCCTCACCCGTGTGTGAATGGATGAATGACTGATTGTAATGTGAAGTGCCTTGGGGGGTTGTAGAACCCTAAGGAGGTGCTATACAAATACCATGTACCATTCTTTTAGAACCCAAACCCTTTTGAAAACAGATTTGAACAAATACATCAAAATGTAGAAAAATATAAAATAAAATAAAGAAGAACATTTTTCGTTATATGTGTGGATAGAACATTTTTGACTCAAGAAGCAATTTTGCAGACGTTTGAAATGGGTTGTGACACCAGCGTCACCACGGGTCCTTGAGGGTTAAACCAGCATCACCTGTGCACTTTGACCTTTCAGTTATCTAATTGATTATCTACAGTAATTTCATCTCTGACCAGATCCACAAGTTCATTCATCTGAAGTTTATAGTTAAACGTCAAACAAGCAGATAAAAAAAAAACCAAAAATCCAGGAAGAACTTGATCCCCTTTGTTAGGATGACAAACAAGGAAGGAAATCCATCCCGATGCCGGCCGTCGTCCCATATGGCTCCTTCCATGAATATTTCACACATTTGTTTGATACATTCACACACGTTTTCATGGGAGGGAATTATGACTGGGACATGTCCGTGTTAATTTCCTGTTAAGGGAAGCGATTGAGGCAATGTGGGTTCAATGAAGATGATGAATGTGTGTGTCTGATTGGATGCACATGACTATAAAACAAGTCCACAAAAGAAAAGGAACAGTAGAAAAGCGCTCATCTCTTTATTCACATTAAGGATATTTAATTTTTCTGTTTTACAATCAGAATTTTGTCACAATTCATGGAAATGAAAAGCATCAATTTGAGCTTCTTCTTTATGTCTGTGGAGAAAAAGAGAAAAAGGGAGCAATGATTAGGAATTGCCAGAAAAACATTCTCAGTAAAGCCCAGCAGTGGCGTTATATTTTACCAGAACTCTTAGAAAAAAGGTAAAACAAAAATAAAATTGACTTGAGCCAGCCGTCGTGATGACATCTTGCCGAAAAAGTTTTGACACTTTAGAAAAAAACAAAACAGCATAAACGAGCAAAAGACGAGTTTTTGTTAGAATGCAGTAAAACGAATAAAAATGTAACTGCATCCTATTTGCAAACAAATAAAGTGAACGTTGCTTTTTCTTCGCCTTCCCTCCAATTTACTCTCCTTCTGTCTGTTTGGAGAGACGTTTTCTTCCACCGTCACAAAGCCCGAGTCGTGTTCAGAGCTCCTCTACATAAGTGTTTCATGTTTCCTCTAAAACACTCTCACCCATTCCGTGTGTTCCCGGTCTTATATTTGGGCTTGAGAGTGGATAGGTAACATTAAAAGAGCTATCACTTCCTGGCTCTGTCATTCCCTTACTTCTTACACCATTTGATCTGAAGCCAGATATGGCTTTTAGATGTAGGCACGGACACACACACACACACACACACACACATGCACATGCATGAAAACACGTGTTCTAGCACCGAGAAAACGCACGTGCACTCCATCTGATTGACGGATAAACAATTTTAGAAAGCGCACACCTGAAAAAAAGCATTTCTTTTATTTTGCAAGGCTTTTATTTTGTGCACTTCCTCTTAGACAAACATCAAAAAAGGAGAGAATCGCATTTTTTCCACATCACACTGTTGCAATAATACCCCCCCGCCCTACACTACTTGTGGAATGAGCTGAAAGAATTGAGTTTTCAAACAAAAAAAGACATAAATACACAACAAATACCACCTACAGTCAATAAAATATGTATGTGGAAGTACGAGTGCCTTTACTGTCAGGATTAATAACATGCTATGAAAACACAGGAAGTGGCTGCCTTCCACAGGTGTACCTCTCCGGCTCTTCATGTTCTATTTTTGAGCTTAAGTCCACGACGCAGCTCAATTTTGTGACGCCGAATGCATGAAAGGGTTAGATTATTAGCGGAATGAAAAAGCAGTTGTAATACATTCATCATTTCCTAAAGTAAGATGGCTTTTTACGAGCTGAATTATTTAGAAGAATCCGAGGAAACGACGCGACTCAGGCTGAGACGCCGAAATATTCAAGCACAAAATGTTCCAGATGTCAAAATTAATGCGGTGAGATTTTAGAGGCACAAAGCCTTGATATATTAGATACCAATAACTCTTTCCCCGTTCTCCGGCCTTTGTTCACTCTCTCTCTCTCTCTGATCTGTAATTGAAAAAGCATTCCATTTTTATTTTCCTTCACTATCCAAAGGCTAAATCCAAAACACCAGCCAAGAGGTTAGCCTGGTCACCTGGCACCCACAGGTACTCTCTCCTTTTTTCTCTCTAACACACACACACACACACACACACACACACACACACACACACACACACACACACACACACACACACACACACACACACACACACACACACACACACACACACACACACACACACACACACACACGCACGCACGCACACACACACACCTGACTGCTGTGCTTCAATAAACTGTAAATTCTTCCTCCGCGCCCACCATACCCAAGCTAACCCTTTAAAAGTCACCCGCCTCCACCTTGTAATGCATGAACACACACTCACGCAGACACATGTACTCGCCCGCCGTTGCACACAACACACACGCACACACACACACACACACACACACACGTGCACGCACACACAAACAATGCAGTGTGGCTTAGTGGATGGTATCAAATTTAGTGGCCACAGGGATCTTGCTAGGGTCATAAATCTATATCTAACATGTGAGGAAAATCTCTACGTGAATATCTGGAGACATGGAGGGAGAGGGAGATGGCCAGACAGACAGTGGGGTACAGAAGGAGAGACACAAAGGAAAGAGAGGCAGAAAGCGTGGAGTGGAGAGCCGCAGATAAACAGCGCGGCTGGGACGCCGGGGCGTGAGTGAGGCAAAAGCACCAAATAAACAAACGGATGGAAAAACAGGCGTACGCTGTAGATGAAGGGAGAAAGATGGCGTGTGTGAGACATGTATAGGTTGGAAATCCAGTAAATGAAGGACAGACAGGCATGACCCCTCTGGCTCTAACAATGGCTCTTCATGTGCTGCCCAGCTTAGCAGGCGAGCTGCTGGAATCAGGAATGTGGAATGTGGGATTTCAGACTTGGAAGTGATAGCTACTGTCTGTGTGTAATATTTAGGGCCGACGCAGGGAGCCTCTGGCACGCCATGAAACACATGGATGAGTTTTTCTGCTGCAACGGAGTTTTTATTTTATTTTTATAAGAGTGGGAACGTCCACAACATGTGAGCTGGAAGAACTACAGGATTTAAAAACGTGTGATGTTTAACTTAAATATCAGTGTATGTTTCTGCCTTCTTATCCTTTTTGTCAACCTGAGATGAAACTCAGATCTTTTTTAAACCCGCTTTGTCACATTCAGGGCCAGGAGAGCTGAGGTAAGAGATTCCTGATGGGAAAGGACGGGTCGGAGAAAACTGCGAGACGTAAACTGCATCTCAAATTGTCATCCGGGACAAGGATCGGCCTTCCGTGTGCAAGAAGATGAGACAAAATGATGCGTAAATACAAAAAAGTATGTAGTGATGACGAGCTGATATGACGAAGATGAAATCATGTTAAAAATAAATTATTTAAAAACATTTTAAAACTGCTATTGTATTAAAATGTAAAAAAAATCTGATGATTTGGGCTAAAATATTACAAAATACCAATTTTAACGGAATTCTGCACAAGGATAATGTCCTGGTAATTTTATGCCCAAATATGGACTTTTCCACCTAGTTCTGAATGCAGACTTTCATTTAAAAATCAAAATACAGTTAAAACACTTGTGGCATTCAATTTTTATAATTTTTTGTTTTAATGTAGCTTTTAAAACTATAATAATAATAATTTGCATAAAAGTGGCTAAACTGAGAGTAATTGAGTCGATACCGTTAGAAATGAGCTATGTCATAGTTTAGTCTAAATCAATAGAAACAAAGCAAAATAGGAAATTTTTTTGTCATTATTAATATTTTATTTTGTTTTATGTTGTTGTCCAGCAAAAATATCACCTCTCCATTTCTCATCATGCATTTATGTAAATAAGCTTTATGGTTCATCTGTTTCTGTGGTTGTCTTTTAAAGAAAGTGTCAAAAAGAGGCAAAGACTCTCCTTTTTTATTCATTTTCCTGAATAATTGCATGTTTAGAGATGAAATATTTTTGCTCGACATCGGCGTTATTTGTTTTGTGTCTATTTTGCTGAAAAAAAATCATAAATTCCTGTGCTGAAATGAAGGAATAATTTAGAACCATAACTGGAGAATTTATTGGTGAAACTCGAAAAATGAGAAAACGGTGCTGAGGTCAGTTTATTTCAGTGATTTACCTTAGACTGAGAGACCGTCTAAAGGCTCAGGAACCCTTTACAGGTTTTCTGGGTTATTCAGCTGATTAGAGTGGGACACTTTGGGTCTAGATTTTTGAATCTAATATTCTGATGGAGGTTTTAAATGTGGGGTTTTCATCAGCTGTGGACCATAATGATCACAGTTATAACCAATACAGGCTCAAATATCTGGCTTTGCATGGAACGAGTCTACCTCATAGATTAGCTTCACCTTTCAGAGCGAGTTAGTGACATAAATGCAGCATATTCTATTTTGGAGTTTCACCTGAAGGAAAAAAGAAAAAAAAAAGTAAAAATTAGTATTTAGTGTTTATGACATGACTTCACATTATCAACAAACTTTATTGCAAATTTTCAAAATGGAAAAAAAAAATCGTTTAAAATGTGAACTTTTAGAAAATCAAAACGAGCAAATCCTGTTTAAGGTTCAAACACAAAGTTTCAGGTTCACAGACGCATATTGTCGCCTTCTCATGCGCTTTGTCTTTCTCAAACGGACACACACACACACACACACACACACACACACACACACACACACACACGCTGCTACTAACACAGGAGACAGTTGTTGCTGGCCGCCTCAACGCCTGTCATGGCTGTCAGGCCAAATCCCACGAATTATGGCTGTTCCAGATGTAAGAGATTTCTAAGCTGCCTCCAACGGCCTGCGGTCTGCATGTGAGAGAAAAAGAGAGGAAAACAAAAAAGAGGGAGAGAAACGTGGGTTCATGCAAAGTCATCCAAAGAAATCTTCTTCCTCTCTCCCTCATCTGTATTATCCATCTTTATTCCATCAGAGGAAGAAAGGGCCGTCGTTACTTGCATTGCCGTTGGAGGGAATGTTGTTTTATGCATTTGGACTTTCTAATGAATATGCAACTTCGATTTGTGAGAAGCTTTTATTTTTAAAAGGCAGCTGGAAGAATGAAATGTTTTGCACGACTTAGAGGTGATATTTATGTAGAAAGGAATCACGACGTGTTCCACGTTTCGTCACCTGTGGACTGCGGCCGTGTGCAGAATCACATTGAAAGGGAAAAGTGTGTTTACATTTAAATAACTATCGTCACATAGAATAGAGGACGCTTATGCATTATGAATATTTTCAAAGCTGCTGTTTGCTGCAGGTTCTCTGCAACCCTGATAATTAAGTTTAATTTCCACACTTAAAATTCAACCACCGCCATTGTCTTTGTTCTTTTTCAGGCCCGCTCTCACCCTGTCTCTCATTAGTACTTCGTAACCGGACAGTTTATTTGAAATTATGAAAGCATTACACACTCTGATGTAGCAGTTTAAAAATCAATAGCCGAAACCTTAGCCGCCTCACTTAAGCCCTCTCCTATGGCAAAGGGGATGTCTCTTTCTCCCTCTCTCTTAAATGGTAATTTCATTTGCAGTCACTAAGACCTCACCGATAATTACCGATGCCCTGAGAGAGAAAGGCAAGTGAAAGAAGGAGAGGAGGGATGATGGGAGACAGGAGGGGGGGAGGTGGATTAAGGACGAAGAGTGAATGCCAGTCATTAGAAAAGCTTTCCTCCTGCCCTGCTTTGATCAGACTTGAGAACGCGTTGGCTTCACTGTTTCACACCTTGACACCAACCTCTGCTTGGAGGAAACAGAGCACAGGAGGATGGAGAGACGTGGAGGGAGTGGTGGTGAATGAACAAGGAAAAGATCCCAGGCCCTTATTTCTACTTTTTTCTTTTCTTAAGTTACTTCTTTTTCACTAAGCTACCCCCCCCACACACACACACACACTCACACACACACACTCACACACACACACTCCTCCATCTTTCAAATGAACTAATCAGAAATGAGGATAGTGTCCTGCAGGAATTGAGTGATGGGGGATGACTTTGACTTTCTCAGATCATCCTCCTTGCACACATCTGGGAGCGAGCAATAACTCTTAATTTTTGACCCCCCCCCCCCCCCCCCCCCCCCCCCCCCAATAAACTTCAATTCCACTTTGGATGTAAAAGAGACTCCTGTCAGTTTATCCTCCTCCCTCTCTTTCTCTCTCTGGCTGTCCCACGGCTAACACAAACAGTAATTTTGTCTGAAATAAATTCGCTGCAGTGGTTACCAGATGTTTATAAGGACTGTTGGGGCAATCCCCTTGAGTTTTTTCATTTTTTTCTTCTTTTTTGTTGTTCCCTAAAGTTTTTTTCTTCCTCTAAAAACAGCCATATAAAGTTATGTTGGTTATGTTGAGTGTGCTTTACCACATGTGTAAGATCTAGTCGATGTTTCATCGTGACAAACACGGTAAACGAGCAGGAATAAGGATTACGAGTGTTTACTGTCATCGGACGGATCTCTGTTTTAAAGCTACAGTGACCAATGTGGTGAACAAATGAGCTTGAAACATTTTTTTCATGCGTCTTAGCAACGTTCTCACATCGTATAGGTATAAATATTTAGTGGAGATTTAAAAAAAACAGAATAAATAAAGTGGCTCTCTCACGTTTGTCTAAAAATGTGCACAGATACCATGTTTCAGACCGAAAGCAACTATTGGACCGTCTGGTTGTCAGTCTCGTCAAACCGCCCAACACATTCTCACACCCTAAGCATCGGAAACAAACGCTTGGTCAGCCACCCTCCACGTCAGACCCCAGACGCCAAAAGTGCCCTTTTTCGTTACTTATGTGCGAAAAGGGGTTTTTCCCTTTTGTAACTGCAGATCCCAATGCAGCGTAAAACTGACGTGATGAGATGAGGACCAGCTCATTTAACCGCACCTAAACCTTAACCTTTCACTATTTATAACCTTCCCCTCTCCCTCATCCTAGCCTTAACCCTCTTGCTACCTAAAACGTTACTCTCACTGTGATCAAGCGTTTGTTTCTCCTGCATTCTGACTCTGACAGTCAGAGTCTGACTGTCAATTTTCATAATTGCCGCCCAAGGGGAACGTCAGAACATACCATCTGGCGAGGGGGAGGTTACACATACCCTCTACTTTTAACCTCCACCTTGGTAGTTGAAACTTCCCCCTCGCGTTGGCTCGGTCCAAACCCGACCAATGATGAGGCGGCTCCCGCCGTTCACTTCATAGAGCCGGCTCTTAGAGCGATCAACACATCACTAACGTGTTCGCTGGCAAGATGGTTAAGGTTAGGATAGGGGTGAGGGGAAGGTTAAATAAGAGGATAAGGTTAAGGTGAGGTACAATGAGCTTGTTTGGTGCCCTGGCTGCGGACATCCCATCACGTCAGTTTTACGCTGCATTGGGATCTGCTGTCAAATAAGGGCAACAACCCCTTTTCCCACATAAGTAACGAAAAAGGGCACTTTTGGCGTCAGGGGTCTGGTGTGGAGGGTGGCTGACCAAGCGTTTGCTTTTGACGCGCTGGGAGTGAGAATGTGTTGAACCGCCACACTTCCACACCACTCTGGGTTCTCCACTCATTACTTGTGTTTGTAGCACCACCACTGATGTCACCCTGGTTTCACACTGAAAGCATCAGCGGCAGCGGAACGTCGCTGCTTCAAAGAGATCCATTATAGTCTATGGAGTGTTTTAAACCAGCAACTTTCCGGCGCGTCCCAGAAGCGGAACGGCGCGCCGCTAAAAATAGGATTTGTTTCTTTGCCACGAGCCGCTTCAGGGGCATGTTTATTTCCTCAGTTGACAGAGGGCTAGACAGGAAATCACACATGGTTTCAGTGTAAAATCCCCGGTAATTTTCAAAATAAAAGTACTGCAGCGATGCAGTTTCATGTATATGTAGCTTGCGTGTGACCCAACGGCTTATTTACTCCCAGCATCGTTCCAGAAGTGCAGCGGTGTGTTTTTCATGGCTTTAATCCTGGTAGTGGAGAGGAACAACATCACATACGATCTAAAACATGATTTCCTTCTTTTTAGTGCATCGGCGGATTTCGTAAACAACCCGCGACCTTTGAAGTCTCGAGGGATCTTATAATCTCACGAGTCCAGCGAGGAGCACAGTGAAGAAGCCGTGCCACGACCCAGACTCAAACAGGTGTGAAAAGGCCCGCTTCGAAGTTCGCCAGCAGACCGCTCTGCTGCCGTTGTGCACCGCTGACGCTTCCTGTGTGAAACCGCGGTGAGAGGTTCTCAAAAACGCTCTTTTCTACATGAAACGACACACATTGTATTCATACCAGAGACCACAGCAGATTTGTAGAAAAACTGAGTGAATGAGAGTTTTAAAGACAAAAAGGCCACATATTTTGATTTATGTGCAGCTTCAACTAATGTAAAAGTAAATAAATAAATACATTTAAAAACAGACGCTACGTCCTTAATTTGTCTTGAGAGGATAAAAGGAGACAGACAGCTACGCCAAACCCCCTCGACAGCAACTGGACCTTGTTAGCCGTGCACCAAAATCATCTCAGACTCCTGGTTTACAATAACACGCGGGATCTTCAACCACTAAATGCTTTCGGGAAACCCAGCCGTCCTCCTGCTGCCATGTGATGATCCCACCTCTGAAATATTCAGCACCATTAACATTCCGATTGGTATCCCCCCCCCCCCCCCCCCCTTCAGACACAGTTCGCTCTGCTCCTCAGACCTGTGGGCCAAGGCAGGGAGAGGCCTGGAGCAGATGGTATCTGTTCTCATTCATCACAAGACCTCTCCTGCACCAAAGGCACAGTGTGAGTATGACATTTGGTGTAAAGAAGACAGAATGCTCACTTTTTAAAGGTATAAAAATAAATCAGCCGTGACAAAGTCTCAGCTATGCCGAGCACCTTCCAACATCAGCTGTGTTTAATCTAGTTGTAGATGCACCTCATCGTAAACCCGTGTTATCGTTAACCATTAAAGGCTTACGCTGGTTTTATTAGCCAGCAAAGCAGAAACGTGTCTGATCTTAATTACTAATTACACCACTATCTGTGCTAATTGTTTTGCCGATCACATCGCGCGTTATCTCCCATGCTTACACCTTCTTTCATGTTGTCAAGCCCCTTAGCAGCGCAGCTCGCAATTAGCTAGGTGTGTGTGTGATGTGAGAGACAGAGGCTGCACTTTGAGCACAATTAGCCGGGTATTTAGGCGTCTTAATTGGTGACATTCGATCTGAGGCGCTCGCTGATGAACCACTTAGCAGCAGATGTATGGATTAGCAACCAGCAAAGCTCTTTTTTTCTCAGATGTAACTAACAGGTCAGGAATGAGTGTTCTTAGCTCTGCCTTACAAATGAAGACAGCTGCATTGACCAGAATAGAAAACGACTTCCTCTTCATGTTTCTCTGACGCTCCCTTGCCTCGTGTTTTCATTCCTTTTCTCTGCCAAAATAAGCTTTTTGTTTAAATGCTGCACGCTTGTGGAACGTTTCGACCACGACGCTGGCGTCCTGTCAGCGGGGTAACGTGGCGTTTTGTTGTCGTGGTACTAAAGCTGTTGAGTCGTCAGGGTAACATGGGAGCCTCGTAAATGCCACGGATTGACGAAACCGCTCCGGAAAGCAGGAAGTCCTTGTCAAAAAGACGAAAGACACATGCAGCGCCACTGGTGTTGGGGGTGCCATGTTGCATTTAAGCAGCAATCTGGAGTTGTCCCCCTTTCAGGAATTATGTATGACTTTTTTAAGAAATCCGTAAAAGTGATAAGTCTTAGCCTGTGTTGTGATGTGATTTAGGCAATATGTTATTTTTTTTTGCTAAGACTGTCCCCCG